CTCACAGTCTAAGAAGGCTAACCTGCCACTTTTCATATCCTCCCTTTGATGTGTCGGTCCACCAAGTTAATGTGATCCGTGAAATGTGGAACGTCCTGAGATTTGATTTTCACCCAGGTGTCATCCACATACCTGAACCAATGACTTGGTGTTCCAGGGTAGAATGAAGACACAGTTCAAACACACTTGGTCGATGCTGAGAGTGGTCCTGTTGCCGAGGTTGGGGTCATCCTGTAATCTCTTACGGACTACCTCCAACGCTTCCGTGACTGGGATGCAAGTGAAGAGAGATGTAACGTCGTACGAGACCATGGTTTCATCTGCCTCCATAATGACATCTCTCACCTTCTCAACACAATCGTGTTCTGGATGTGGTGTTCAGAGCTGCCTACCAGCCGGTTGAGGATCGGAGCTAGAAACTTAGAGATGTTATAGGTGACAGAGTTGATCATACGCACAATCGCTCTTAAAGGTGCACCCTGTTTAAGTATCTTCGGTAAACCATACAGACTTGGTGTAGACTCCCCTGGGTACAGCCTGTGGTATGGAGTCTGGTCGATAGACTTGTCTTGGTCAATGGTCATTAGAATTTGCATAATTATGATGATGAACTGAGCTCCCAGCCCATTGTTCAGTCATTGTGCAAATGTGCTGTTTATCAGGTTGGAATCCTGCAGTCAGCTGAGACTGAAGTAGTCACCTGGATAAGTGACGAAACGTTTCTCCCACTGACAACGAAAACCAACTGATGCGTCCCATCGACGTCTTTACTTTGAATTCTCTGCATTTTTGCAAACTAACCTGTTTTTCCTGCACAAAACCTCTGAGTACTTTCATGCAACATTTCAATAACACAAGTTTGTATATTTTGGTATGCAGGACATTTCACAATATGAAGAATGATCAAAACAGACAATAAACAAATCCCACGTGTGATCCATCTCTGAGTGAAGTTAGCGCTCTTTCTTTTCTCTCCCTGTCAAATACAGCAGCTGGACCTTTACCTAGCAACACACTGTGACAAACTGCAGACAGTTTGTGTGTTTGCTGATGTTTGTTGAGCTGATAGAAACGGTGAATTTAAAATGACCTGACACTTAAAAAAACATCACTCCCCTCATACTTCTTCCTCTTCTATCCCGCTAGCTAGATTTTGTAGTTCCGCAAACACAACAGGACACCTGCACTCATTCTTTAACTCCAGGGTATAAACGCTGTGAGTGATGCAGCTGAACCAAAAGTAACCAGTTTGTTTTGAAGTAGAAAGTACAGATATTTGTTTCAAAATGTAGGCAGTAAAAGTAAAAAGCTAGCAGAAAAAAGTAAAGTACGGATGGCTCAAAATCTTTATGTACGTACAGTAACCAAGTATTTATACTTTGTTACTTCCCACCTGTCTGTGCCTCCTGAAGTCCGTTATGAGCTCTTTTGTTTTAAGGACATTCAGCTATACTAAATGAATGAACTTGTTAAAGTGCTGCCTGTAAAGGTGTGGGCTGGGCAGGAAGTGAAGCTTTCTGTATTTTAATCCCCATCTGATCGAGCCTTCCTGTGTGGAGTTTGCATGTTTGCTCTGCTCACAATCAGCTGTTTTTGCAGCAGTATTGATTTTCTGTGCAAATCTTATAAAGCTAAGCAGTGACAGTGCTCAAGCCCTCTGACTGCTTTCTTAATCCTGTGCTCATGGCAACCATAGCATTCATCGCTGAAAATAGTTCAACTTTCACTCTCATCAGTCAAATGAAGACAAGCTCAGTCTCTTATATAACCAAGGTGTGAAAAGCCTGGCTGTCAGTCACAATATACATTTAAAAAATAGATGGTTTCTGTAACCTCTGCCAATGGGGGCATGGGTGCTTCCAGTGACTGCACTGTAGATTTCACATTTTACAATCAAACATAGAAAAACAATATAAAACTGCTCAGTGGACAAGGACTCATCTGATCTTAACTGTCAGGAAACAATCTTTGCTTTGTGACTCTGCTGTCTGATGTATCTGATCTGTCTTTTCTGACAGTTGTAAAACTTGAACTTTGAGTTTCTTTACAGCATTGCTTCCCTTTAGAGGAGTGGCAGTGAATTCTGTCAGCTGTCTTTCGATCATTCCCACCTTGGCTTCCACAGCTGTGATCGGTATGACAGGAAAAGGAAACCAGTTCCACAGCAGGATGAGTAAGAAGAAAGAACAGAATAAAAGTTGAAGAAGAATATTTTTCAGATTAGAGCTGTATGCAGTCATGGAAAATTAAGGCGTACGATTACGGACAAATTGACAAACATTATCGGCTGGATCAGTGGACTCATGAACAGCACGGAGCAGCCATCCTGCCCTCATGCTACCAAGGAGCACCACCGGATGAAAAGGACTGTGGTACCTTCCTTCACAGAGAACGAGGACCTGAAGGAGCTCCTGCAGCTGTGTACAAGCAACAAGATCCGGACAACAAAGTATTCCTTTCTCTCCTTTCTGCCCAAGAATGTTTTTGAGCAGCTCCACCGATTCGCTAACGTCTACTTCATTTTCCTTGCTGCACTAAACTTTGTCCCTGTTGTGGAAGCCTTTCAGCCAGAGATCGCTCTGGTTCCTATTGTACTGGTGCTGTCATTGACAGCTCTGAAGGATATCTGCGAAGACTACCGCAGGTTTAAGACTGATCGCTTGATCAATGGGCTTCTGTGTCGTGTTTACAGCAGGTAGGGTCAATTTTATTATAATGGCCCTGGATATACTGAATATACTGGTCCCTTTAAAGATGCTATTTGTCATTTCAAGCACTTCAGTCACTTAGCTGTAATATATTCGTAGGTAATATAGTATTAATTAATTTTTTTTACAGTTCCTATGGTCACGGATGAACCTTGAAATATCACAGCATTGGCTAAAAACATGCACATATCAACTATGTTGTAGTCTACAGGGAAATTATGCATTAGTGTATTTCACCCTGTTCTGTGCTGTTAAACCAGATGTGGTCAAAGGTGGGT